AATATATTATACTAGCTATCGTTGCTTTCATGGTTCAAGGGGGTAACTCTTATTTTCCGTTGGTATTCAAAATTGCAGTGCACGGTTTATCAAACTAGCTTAAAAGCTGCCCTATCGGTCATCATTTAAGCTAGCTCTTGTGGAGGACTCTTGGTGTGGGCATTATCACAATAGCTAGGGAGAATTAGATGCGATAGGCATCGATAAACTACAGAAGAACTCAAAATTGATCGCTGCATTTAAGTATTGATTAAGTAAGATATCTTTAATCATTTCTAACATACAACGTTTCAAAGCTTAATTTAATAATTGTACAATTTTGCTGTTACACGATTTGGACAATTTTGCCGTTGCACCCGGTACACACACACACACACACACACACACACATATATATATATATATAGGTAACTATACTCGTTTCGAAAAACCTTCGAATTTTTGATTTGCCAATAATCAAATCAATCTCGAAGGAAAAAAAGGTTTTAAAAAAAGAAAGAGCCAGGAACATGAAAGTCTGTCGAAAAAATCGGACAGATACAGGTTCAAAGCCCAAAGGGAAAAACCCGATACGAGTAAACAACTAACTAACAAAAGAGCTCAATAGAACCGCAGAGCAGACCTAGTTAAACCTAGTGAGCCAGACAAACCTACCCAGGTTTCACCTAAGCGGATCATCAGCGAAAGCTGGCTAAAGAGGCAAAGAGAAACTGGCTCACTAGGTTTGACTATATATATATATATATATATATATATATATATAAAAACTAGACTCGATGAATTAATTATGAATTAATTATATATATATATATATATATATATATGTGTGTGTGTGTGTGTGTGTGTGTGTGTGTGTGTGTGAAAAATAAAAAAATACGGAACGAATATTTAGAACATAACCTCTTTCCTTGTAAAAAGTGCCACTGAAATATTCTCGCCTTGATCAATAAGAGTTTAAGTAATTTTTTTTAACTGTGCAGTACTTGAATACAGCTTGTAGAACTGGAGACATATTGAAATTAACTGTCGAAAAAGAACAGGTGTTATAATTCTTTTTAAGCGCGCCGTTAGCTGCTTACGACGAATGATCATTTCTGTAACTTTTTGACAGTTAATTTCAACCCTGTCTCCAATTCTTCGAGCTGAATTTAAAATGTGATTAAAAAAAGGAGTACTTCTGATGGTTGGTCAAATTTTGGCAACTTGTTCAGGTGGAGAACTTTTCAGTAATATTTCCCGATAGCAGGGTCACTATGAACCCCATTTATCATTATACAGTGAGAATTTCAGACCAAAAGTCAGCTAATCACTATTAGGCTGAGTCATAAAGCATTTCCATTTTTGTATATCAACCTTATTCTTCAATGGTAAACTCTCACAACTCTTGCTATTTCCATGGCAAATGTCCATTCCTTAGTTCCTCCAGTTCAGACCTTTACAGCTAAGGCCCAACATGCCACGTACAAAGCGTTAACTCATCCATATTCCCTTTGTAGTCCATCAGTAAGAAGAAAGTTTCACTCAGAAAAAAAGACTCCTGAGATGATGCTTCCTTGGTTGCAATAAATTAACAATTGAACCGTAAGTTCTATGCTAACAGTTTCTTTTTTCGCACTTCTCGCTTGTGGAAGTTTCTTCTCGCTTCATGTTTCCCAATTAAGTTTGATCTTCAAAAACTTAAATGCTATGTCAATCGTTATTTAATATCTTACTGATTACTCTTCTATTGTTTTTGCAACTTTATAATGTTTCTCTCTTTTCTTATTCTTTCACACCCAGTAACCCCCTTGCATCTTAGCGACTTTATCGCCTTGCATGTAGTGAAATGATAAAAAAACAACATTATTTCTTTCCAGGTAAAATGCTAAAGGAGGAACAATGCCGAAAAATAAACCTCATTTCGTAACATTCCATGAAAGTATCTTAGGCTCTGAACTTTTAAGTTGACCCCCGTATGTAAAGATTTCGACTTGATTCACAGCAGTATCTCTTATTTAATGTCGCATGAGGAGCATCAATTTTTATAGATAGAATTCATGAAAAATGAAAACCAAAAAAATCGAATATTTTAATGGATATAAAAAAAAAAAGTATCGTAAAGGAAAAGAAAAAAAAATTATGAAAAAGAAACTGCCTCGGAAAGTTCATTAAGTCATACTCAGAGTTTTCAGGAGAAAAACATCTTGAAATATAACAATAGAGGAAAAATATGTTTTTAATATATTTCTTCGAACAAAACGCAAGAAGTGATACAAAAAAGTTAAATATTTCTACATGAAAATTTAGCAGAAATATAAAAAATATGTATTGTGTTGCTCTAAACAAAAGTAATAATATCCCCCCTAAGCTTCTGGGTACACATTATCGCTTCTTCCATTCGTTGCCAGTATGAGAAGGGTGTTTTGAGACCCAACCCGATGTAACTATATTATATTATTTAACTTTCAGAAAATTCCGCTGACATGGGAACAAAATGCACACTTTTTTCGAATGCGATCACAAACTGATTATTTTATACGTATTTTTAAGGTGTTAAATATGTTATACGGTACAGAATACAATATATACGCGGTGTGATTAAAGGTCTTTGCTGCTGTCTATATAAACCCATTATCCCCACTTTACATCCAGTATATATTATTATATTATTATAAATACAACTAAATAGTTGTCAATTTTGACAGGCGTGCTAGCCTGTCAAAATTGACGTCAGAATTTAATTTGGAATTTCTCCTTAGTCCGACCAAGGATGTTACAGCCCATTTAATAAATCGGGAGGGAAGAAGCTTATTACTTAATGACAACAGAAGAAACGATCCCTCAATTTCTGTCCAGTATATTCAGAAAATGGTGTGCTGAATAATTTTCGGCCCAATCCATTTGCCAAAGCCTGAACGGGATTTCTTTTGGTATCCCTTCATGGTTGGACCGAGGATGTTACAGCACACCGTATTTAATAAATGTGGGTTTCTGTTTATCACTTAATAATAATGATAGAAATATGATCCCCCACTTTATGCCCAGTATATCCACCTAAATACTGCGAGGAGGTGTTGAATAGTTCTTGGTCCGACACGTTTTCCAAAATCTGACCAGACAACAGAAATTCTGTTAGAATCATCTTAGTTGGACAGAGAACATCCTCGTATTTAATAAATGTGGGGGATCAATTTATTACTTAATAACAATAGAAAATCGATACCCTCACTTTATTTACAGTATATTTTACGGCATATCAACCTCAACGGGTCCTTATAATGCCGAAAAGATTTTTATTGCTGGTAATAATTTTCTTTCAAAAACGCATTGCTGGTAATATTTTTTCTTCAAAACGCATTGCTGGTAATAATTTTCCTTCAAAAATGCATTGCTGGTAATATTTTTTCCTTCAAAAATGCATTGCTGGTAATAATTTTCCTTCAAAATGCATTGCTGGTAATATTTTTTCCTTCAAAAACGCATTGCTGGTAATAATTTTCCTTCAAAAATGCATTGTTGGTAATATTTTTCCTTCAAAAACGCATTGCTGGTAATAATTTTCCTTCAACAATGCAGCGCTGATAATATTTTTTCTTCAAATATGCATTGCTGGTAATAATTTTCCTTCAAAAATGCATTGCTGGTAATATTTTTTCTTCAAAAACGCATTGCTGGTAATATTTTTTCCTTCAAAAATGCATTCCAGGTAATATTTTTCCTTCAAATAATCATTGCTGGTAACATTTTTTCTTAAAAAATATATTGCTGGTAATATACTTTCCTTCAAAAATGCATTGCTGGTAATATTTTTTCCTTCAAAAATGCATTGCTGGTAATATTTTTTCCTTCAAAAATGCATTGCTGGTAATATTTTTCCTTAGAAAATGCATTGCTGGTAATATTTTCCCTTCAAAAATGTATTGCTGGTAATATTTTTTCTTCAAAAATTAATTGCTGGTAGTATTATTTTCTTCAAAAATCTATTTCTGGTAATAATTTTCATTCAAAAATATATTGCTGGTAATATTTTTCCTCAAGAATGTATTGCTGGTAATATTTATTTTTTCCTCCAAATATATTGCTGGTAATAATGTATTGCTGGTAAGAGTTTTTCATTCAAAAAATGTATTGCTGATATTAAAATCTATTTTTACACTTTCATAGTATTTTGACCCCAGTTTGGGAGTCAACAAGTGCTACCACCCCAAGTCAGGGCGGACCTGGGAACACCAGCAATTAAGAGGTGGTTCCACGCTCCTCAAAACCTCCTGATCAGAGGCCTTGATGTTGGACGGAGTTCATCGTCTTACCCAGGATGCGGATGTAGTTAATCGTCTTACCCAGGCCGAGAGAAAGTGCTGAATATTTCTCGATCCGATACACTTGCTAAAAGACGTTCCCCTGCTTTCATGTGTAGTTGGCCGCATCGATCTGTGCCACAGCCGAGCGTTACATTAGCTCGAAACAACTGGAATCATTGGATTAGGCAACATGTTTCCAGGGTCCAATTGGCGATGTCACGAGCCCAGATGAGACGTTTTGTCGAGTGTTGTGCTCTTAAAACGAGCATCCTCGTTCATCTTGCGCTCCTATAGAAGCGGACGTCGGTCGTCCCCAAATTCTAGCGTCGACACGATGTGAAGAAACTCAGAACTAGCTACGTGGTCATCAAACTTCATGTTACTAGATTAGGGGCCGTGTGTTGAAAAAAAAACGAATTGTTGAGAAAACAGACAAACAAAGGAGTGATACAAAACGATTGATTCGTTTTTACGGCTTATCAACCTCTTGACGGTTATTTAAACCAAGAAAATATTTTTCATTGTAAAAAGAATAATTTTGGAGATAATAATGGTTTAGTGATACAAACCTTATTAATTAACCCATAGCTGGGGGAGAAGAGGTCAAGAGGTTTCCAAAAGGTGTTTGTGCACAAGTGAATATAACGAACCCAACGAGAATTGGAACTCGGCTCTCTGATTAACAATAACATTATCCATTACACCACCTGCACATCCAAGCTTACAGCTCCTGGTGTTCTCAAATGGTCACCCATCTAGGTACTGACCAGGATCAACGTTTCTTAACTTCGGTGATCCTACCGGGACCGGTGTTTCAAGCCTCAAGAGAAAACATAACAGAAACATTTATACTATCGAGAACATCTTTCGTGTAGAGAAAAATCTGAAGGAATGTTCTCAAGAGTCTCTGTAAATAATGAAGGAATAATTGATTTTACTCTGCTAGTGAATTAGCGAGCGGGTAAGTTGTACTGCCTACGCCATGTTCCATCTATTCAATGGCTCACTAACGTCCGGTCGCGAAGTCATCCCGAGGTGAAAGAGAGCTAGCCTCTCAGGTTCACAGCACGCATGCCCGAAAGCTGAGATGAGGTTACTTTCTGTTATGACAGTTGACATAGTGGTAATAATGAGACCGACAACTGGATGCTATACTACACAAACACTTTATTTACACGTTTTATTAAGCGAGGACTTTGCTCGTATAACGATATTTACCCGCACGTCCACGTCGCAAAGGAAATGCGACACAAAGTTTAATGTGGGGCGTTTTCGGCAGTAACTTAAAATAATTGGACAAGACCCCCTCCGCACTTCTTCATTTTGGAGATGCCTCAGGCGCCGGGTAATGACCTCAGTACCCTCTCGAAGAAGAGGTACTGCTTGGGGAGATGCCCCCTCCACATCCCTGGAGGGCCGTCCAGTTATACTTTGTTTATAGCTATTTTTTTTTCTCTTTTGAGTTTTATTTTGTTCACCTGGAAGGCTTTCTGTTAATTGGATCAGCACTTTGAATTTTTGTAGTATATATACAGGGTGTGATGGGTAAATTGTCGCCACTTTATATTTTTAATTTCGCGCATGCGCATCGTTTGTACAGTATATTAGGGTCAGTTGGGCACCGTCTGTGAGAAAAAAGAGCACCATGACACAATTCACTATGACAGAAATTTGGAAACGGCATGCTGTATGGCTTGACATTCCCGCCGGAAGCTCCAATAAGAATAGCGTATTTGACTGAAATTTGAGGACAGTGCAGAGGATTCGGAAAGAGTTGGGTGAGTCTAATAGTGATCACGAAGGTACGGCAACTGGGAAAACTCACTATGATTGTTCTGATAAGAAAAGAACTTCCGAATTTGTTGGTGAGGGCGCTAGACTCAACACCGAGGCCTACATCAAGTGACTTGAGGAGGTAGTGCTGCTTACGGTCAAGAGGGTGGTTGCTGGAGGACCCTATTTCTCGCAAAAGGACCCTGCACCATGCCACACAATCGGTAGAACCCAGTAATGAGTGTCAGACAATTTCTGCAACCACGTCACCCGTTACATCTGGTCACCTAACTCCCCAAACTGCAACCCCCTTGATTATTATGTGTGGGACGCAGTTGAGGAAGAGACCAACAAAATTCCTTGTAACATTAAAGATGAACTAAAGGCAAGCCTTATGGCAGCATTCATTAAATAAAACAAGGAGACCGTCTAGAAGAGTTGCAGGAGGTTCGGAAGTGGTCTGGAGGCCAATCACGATTATACTGAATAAATTTACTCTTTAGTATGTGAAGATAATTTTGAGTAATTTTGGCAAATATATTTGTTAAAATGAGATGTCAGTGTTATTTTCATTTTTGCGTAATTTAGACAATTTATCCGCGCACGAGTATATATATATATATATATATATATATATATATATATATATATATATATATATATATATATATATATGTGTGTGTGTGTGTGTAATTTATATATATATATATATATTATTTATATATTATATAAAACGCGGTACCTATTGGAAAACGCTCAATATCAGTTATAGAGCGAACATATTTAGTGGATTGATGTGAGTTTATGACCCTGGGTTTCACGCCCTTCTGATCTTCAGACAAACTCTGGTTTGTCTGACGATCGCAAAGTGTGAAACCCAGATACAAACTCACATCATTCCAACTATATATACATATATATATATATATATATATATATATATATATATATATATATATATATATAGGTTTTGCCTATTGTTCTGTTCACACACCTCCGATTTTTAACAAGAGATTTATCCCTTGTTTCCTCTTTAGGATTGTGTTTTCAGTTCCTTCTAAAGTTTTCTCATCTCCTTTTACGCCTAGTAGCCTCTTGCATCTTAGTGGCATTATCGCCTTCGCCTATATATATATATATATATATATATATATATATATGAGTAAACACTGAGGTCAAAAGCAGCGGCTACAGTCTTTCATGCTTAAATATACACTTTTACATTTTTCTATTTACATACGCTGTATCCATGATATTGAGCACTTTAATCCATAAACTAATCATACCGTAAGAAAAGACAACTAAATCATTTGATACAAAACTTGGTAGACAGATGCATTAATGGTTGAATTACATGTTCGTTTGATGTAACCGTCTTCAGCAGCACTGATATCTCCTATGCGGAACTGCAATCACTGACATGCGCACATCATATGGTCTGTATTGATATTGAATATTACTCGAGTAATGGCTGCTTTCAGGGAATCAGTCGTATTGTAGCAACCTTGTTTCGTCGTCCGTTCAACAACGCCTCATAAGTAATAGTCAAGACGATTTAAGCGAGGTGAGTTTGGTGTGATGCAGTCGTGCAGATTGGCTGGCATCCAATTTTAGGTTACCACATCTTTGTGAGCAATTGCAGAGTCCTGCTGAAACACACACTGTTGTCCATTTTATACAAGGGTCTGTCCAGGGATTCACAACTGTTTCCAGCACCTGAGTGTGACCAGTAGCATTCAACCGTAAACCCAAAGCTTGGCCACTGGCGTTTGTATACATCTTGTATATAATAAGTTAAAATTTCCATTTCTCTGTCGTGCGCCGATGGTTTAGGGGAAAGATCTCTGACTGAGGCCAAATTGGTCGAGTTTCAATCCCGTCGTAAAGCAATACGACGTCTAGCCACACTGAAAACACGCTTGTATGTGGATGATATATATATATATATATATATATATATACCTGTGTGTGTATGTATTGGGCAAATTGCATGACAAAGTGGAAAATGTTTACTTGTGACGCGTTTCGTTCATCAGACTAATTTTTTTTATGTTGGTTGGACTACACATGCGCACAACGGAGAGGTGCTGGGAATTTTAGAATTTTTCTTTTTATCTAGTCGAATTTCTTTTAAAGTTTTTTTTTTCCTTCACTTATGTTATTCTAATATATATATATATATATATATATATATATAAGTTTGCAATGATAAAAAGCATAAATGAATATATATATATATATATATATATATATATATATATATATAATAAAAAGGCTTAAACACTAATATTCCATGACCATGGAATATTAGTGTTTAAGCCTTTTTATTATATCCTTACTCTGTCCTGGACATTGAGTTCTATCTGGATTCTATCCTCTTGGAATTTTTTATTCAAAAAATATATATGTATGTGTATGCATGTATGTATATATATTTATATATTTTGCATATGTATGTGTATATTTACCACTAGTATTATCTATCTATCTGTCTATATATATATATATATATATATATATATATATATATAAAGATATTTCTCTTCTTTATTTTTGGGTTAATTCTATCGTTTCGCCATTTTCCATTCCCGTTCGTTTCAAATTTCAAGAAACCTTAAAACAAAACGATGCCAAAGTCGCACTCTTTTTTCGCTTTTTGAATGAAATATGTATCTCTCGGTTATAGACACCATTTCTTGCTTCTCTGACACTGGCAACAGTGGACGAACCTCAGAGGCTTCAGGTCTCATCTTGTATATATTGCGCTCATTACAGTTCTCCCAAAACTAGATGAAACTGTTTTGGTGTGTTTGTATTTAGTATTTTGGCATCTCTGTCGTCAATATGAAACTGCGGAGAGACGAACCATTACGAGAAAGAAAAAAAAAAAAAAAAAACATGGAATCGGCAGCCCCAGTTTAAGAGTTTGTATTCAGATGTAGGTCGTTTGAACATGTTCAATGAAAATAGCAATATAGTAGTTGTTTTATCATTTATATCAAATAGAATCTGTCTTATATAAATAACGTAAACTTTTCTTTAATGCTGATAACTAATTTTCATATTTTAAATCAGTTTTGTTATTCATTTCCAATTTGGCTTTATGTGATTTTTATAAGTGATTGTTTTGTTGAATTTTATGATGAAATTACTTAGGTATCAAAATGATATGTCCCGGAAAGGGATTTATTTGATCGAAGTAGCTAAGTGGTTTTGGATACTCTAACCACGGTAGCATAATCAACTGCTACTCGTCGTAGTCGCAGGTAATAGGTGTAGACCAATAGAATAGCCAATGGCGTAGTCCAATGGGCGTCGTCATAGACTTGAACTCTGTCGTACCTACACGTCCGTCTGTATTTATGACGGACACCAGCCAATCATATTCCAGTGAGGGGGAACACAGGTGTATGCATATTCCATTATATCACTAAATAAGGCCATTTCTGTTCTGAAAATGGTAACGACCTTAGCATTTAGATCACAGCTATGAAATAAAGGGACGTGAGCGATATCTAAACAGAAATAAGCATTTAAGGTAGAGGTTTACTGAATGAGACGGTTCTAAGTGCTTAAAGGTAGGAGGGAGAGGTGAAGATTAAGAGGGTATGTACGGTAGATAACGGTTGAATCCAGAGGTTCCGATTGTAGTGTTTGGGCAAGTATCCTCTCGGGTGTCAAGTAAAATTTCTGAGGAAGAAGCTGCTTGAGTGAAACTTCCTTTTTACTAATGGAATCCGAAGGGAATGAGGATGAGTTGACGTCGTGTTCATGGCATAGCGAGTCCTAATTGTGAAGGTCTGAACTGGTGGAACTAAGGAACATAGATTGTCTATTGTCTGCAATAGAAATAACCCGAGAGGTATAAGAAGCTAGCAAAATTACATGCTCTAAAGTTATTTCTAATTTGCAAAAAGCGTTCAAGGAATTTTGGTTTCCAGCCTTTAGCACTAATAGTATTTAAGTATCAATTCGAACTGTTTTTTCTTTTTTATGAAATTTAGTACCTTGTGAAACTGTTATGGTCCAGGTTAGGACCAAGGAAGA